ACCTCTGGATTCTAACAGTGAGAGAATATCCCGTTGACACAGCCTCTGTAGCCCCAGATCGCAGTTTAGATCGCGTTCATAGATTGCGACCATAAAGAAATTCAGAGATTCCGAAATTGAAGAAGTGCGGAATCTGCAGAAATGCAGAAAGTGCGGGGAATCGATACGTATCGGTTGTTTTTCGTCATTTCCCACTTCTTCATTTCTGCATTTCTGCATTTCTTCGTGGTCGCAAGCTGTGTACGCGGCCTTAATGATACTCTTTTCCATTCTATGTTCGTTGTAAACTAGGTGATAAAGTTTGTATCCACTCAGAGGCAATTCGACTGTTAAGTCATTCAACGAACTTCCAATGGGAAACTGGCGTTATATTGAGTGGGACTTCTTTGGCGAAAAAGTTGGTTAAACCTTCGGAGCTCTTTCTTTCAGAACCCCTTTTTCGGTCATCTTCTACGGTAATTCCTGTTTTGTAGAGTCATTCAAATGTCCTCTTGCACATCTGCTTGTTCCTTTGTAGAGGATGAAAGCAGTATTGATAAACATACAGCTGGTTCTGTGTTCTACACCATGCTATTTCAATGCAAGCAAGAGCAGAATGTTGATGTTCTTCGGAAGAACAATTTCAAAAAGTTCGTAGACTCCTCTCCATGCTGCTTCATCGTATTTTTAGGAATGATATCATTGAGGAAGCGTCCCCTGCTATCGAAACCCAAAAAGCCTACGGCTGAAAGCGACTCCGAGGAAGATGATGAGGTTCCAAAGAAGAGATCGCCCTTGCCTGTTGCATCTGATGATTTTAAGATTCCCTGGCGAAAGGAGAAAGTAGGTTTGTTATAGGCGTTTTTGAACTCTTCTCTTATTCATTTTTTCCCTCTTATGTGGCTTCTTTACTTTCTTCTCGTATGAAAATACAAAGGTTTGTCGTGTTTAATGCTTCGGCCAAATATTCTCATTTTGGAGTGGCCCCGAAAAAAACCTCGGGCTTCGTGCATACCGCGTGATATTGGGAGAGTAGGAGATTCGCCAGGCTGAAAAGACTGAATACGTCAGCCAACATCCACAGTCGGGGATCTTGACGAATCGGAGAAAGAATGGGTTCCGCGAAAAGGTTCTCATATCAGTCATTAGGAGTCAGTTGTGTCTCGTGAGAGGTTCTCGATCAGGAGAAAAAAACGTAGCGAGCTGCAAAGCCGGCCCCTCTTCCCTTGGGCGGGGTCAGCGAAATGATTACGTATTCTTTTCGCGTTCAAGTCTTTTCGCGTTACGCAGTTCGCCGCGTTGCGCCAGTTCGACAGTTCCCCATCGATACCACGTATTCACTGCTTTCATCGTTTCTCCAACTCGCCAGTTCGCAGACTGTAAACAGTACATCAGGCTTTGTACCTTCAAAAAATCAGCGATAGGCGCGCAGCGCAACGCACATGGGAGACATCTATTGCGTTTCCACTTTTTATACCACCCATTCATATTTGTGAGGAGTCCGTATCCCCCAGTGAATCGTTTCTAATTTGCTGATTCTCTACTAGGTCCGAGTCTGCCAGATCGCTACCTATCGAGTTCTTCCACCGTAACCTTTGATCTCTGAGGGAGGTCGTCCCGGCGGTGAGAGCCTCCTATGATGATGGACGTTGTGGACGACCATCGGATGCTGAC